AATCCACAGACAGAATCAAATCAGCCCCTGCACATCATGCCCTGACCACCGGCCACACCATCTCCTGGAACAACATCGAAGTCCTCAAATCCCTCACCTCACGCTCCCAACTTGACCTTACAGAACACACAGCTATACAAATACGACAACCAGCCATGAACAGAACAGACCACGCACCTAAATGTAGTTCCCTCTGGGACCCCATCCTTCCTAAAATTGTCAAATCCTTAAAGTCCAAACCATCTGGCATTTCCTTCTCAACCTCAACAGAAGCCTAAATTTGTATTAACATTGTACTGTAATTTTCACTTTCCCACCCATACCACCCCCACCCTCCATCCTTGACACCACTCCATCACATATAAGCATTGTCAACCCCATCACATTCAGCTGACGACGATTAACACATGTTTATTGAAAGTTTCTACAAGTTAAACCATCGTATCTCTTATATGATTCTAACCCAACTCCATTCAGTTTTAAGTGGACAAATAAAAGGCTATCGTGGTGTCCCAGGTAACTCGTACTCCGTTTTATAGATCTAGATTGTAAAATGTTACCTTAACATAAAGATTCGGCGGAATAACAGGCCGAGCGCCGCCCAAAATTGATAAAAAGATAAGGATCAAGTTGTCAACATAACATTGTTCATGAACTAATTTGTTCTGCACGATAAGTGCACTGTGTATAATTAAATTTAAAAGTAAGGACTTTTGTCAAATTCAATTTGTGATTAATGCGTACTCCATTTTACCGATTTATAAAAATTTCACATGAAACGAAATTAAATCACGATTCTAAATTTCATGTGCAACAGCATTACACATACGCGCTGACCTTCAGTACAGACCCACAATTTTGGGCAAGATCAATATTTTGAGGTAAAATTTAAGAATATGTCATGAGTTATAAAGCAATGAAAGGCATTAGTTTGGTCAAATCAAACGGAACATATGCTATCAGACTTTCAACTGACTAAGTCATATTTTGTGTCGGATGATATGATTTGAGATCAGTATCACATCATCCATCATCATGGGACATGAGCCGATCAAATTAAAGGGGAGCTGGTCGTTTAGCTCCGGACAGTCTACGCACGGTCCCTGCACGGTCCATGCAACAACAAAAGAACACTCCATGCACGGTCCCTGCACGGTCCCTGCACAATAAAAACTTGATGCACGGTCCCTGCACGGTCAGTCCCTGCACGGTCTATGCACAGTCCCTGCACACTCCCTGCACGGTCTATGCACGGTCCCTGCACAGTAACATATGAACACCGGCTACTAGCCACTTTTGTAATAACAGCTCCTCATTTTCACATTACCAAACCGGCTACTAACCAGCACTGAAAAAGTGGTCATTAGCCGGCTACTAACCGGCTACTAGCTGGCTAGCGACTACAAAGTGGCTAAGAACCGGCTACTAGGCGGTCACTAGCCGGCTATTAGCTGAGCTCTAAAGCATACCTACTTTCTCGAGGTTCCAAACCGGCTACTAGCCGGCACTTAACTAGCCGGCTACTAACCGGCTACTAACCGGCTAGTAGCCACCATGTGGCTACTAACCGGTCACTAGCCGGCTATTAGCTTGGCTCTAAAGCAGGCCTGCTTAGTAAGTCTGCCTAGTAGGTTAGTAGCCAGTAGGTCTGCTTTAAAGCTCAGCTAATAGCCGGCTAGTGACCGCCTAGTAGCCGGTTAGTAGCCACTTTGTGGTCACTAGCCGGTTAGTAGCCGGTTAGTAGCCGGTTAGTAGCCGGTTAGGTAATGTGAAGTTGAGGAGCTGTTATTACAACGGACGTACATATGGGTACTGCTCTAAATGACTGTGACTCATTTCCGGGTATTGACAGAGCCTTCCTTATTTCTAGCAACAAGAAGGAACTGCTGAAGTCCAGCTGTAAAGTCCCCGCTACACCTCAACAGAACTCCTTTGCGGATACGTGACGATCAAGTCGAGCTGTAAAGTCCCCGCTACACCTCAACAGAACTACTTTGCGGATACGTGACGATCAAGTCGAGCTGAATTTCATTTTTATCATATCATCATATCATACCATTAGCTAATAACAAACCATGGCGAAGTAACAAGTCACTAGGTTCCTTACTCTGCACTGAGAAGGACATTCAAAGAAGGAGAATCCTAGCTGAGATTGCTTTCAAGAACTTTGGAAAAGTATGGTTGTCCGGTAAGAAAATTTCCCTTGAAAGAAAGCTGAGGTTATATGATTCTCAAGTTGTATCTGTATTGATTTACAACTCAAAATAGTTGGAGTCCTAAGAAAGCAACCATGGAGAAAATGGACACACTTCATCGTAGACACCTCAGGTCCATTTTAAACATCAAATGGCCTAAAGGTATGATAAGCAACAAATCATTGTATGAACGGTGCAAAGTTGAAAAGTTATCCAAGCGTATTGAACACCAGCGGTGGAAGATGTTTGGACACATTCTCAGGAGTATGAAGAACACCCCAGCCCAAACGGCTCTCTCTTTTGCAATTGAATCAGATAATTTATTCATTGGTAGATTGGGGAGACCTAGAATGAACTTGTTATCGGTTTTAAGAAGTGATTTAAGTAGCAGAAATTTGCGAATGGACAACTTGCATGAATTGAACGAAATTAGAGATATAGCTGCATGCAAAAGATGTTGGGGGAATCTTTTTCAATGGTACAGTTTACCGCATTAAGGTATTTTTAAGAATCATTTTTGTCGGTAAGATCCTGTTTTATAATAATAATAATAATCCTATCATACTAATTCATATCATCATATCATATCATTATGGAACATGCTCATGGGAGGGAATTAAATTATTATATTCACACTTGTTTCTCTTTCGACAAAGATGTGACGACGTTAAATTTTAATGAATTTTTAAATTTTTGTTGTAAGAAGACTCTTGCACATTATTTATTTAGTCTCTATTGATGTATAGTCAAGACGGGAGTGGTTGGTCATGATGATGTGATACTGATCTCGAATCATATCATCCGCCACAAAATATGAAATAACTCATGACATGATCTTAAATTTTGCCATCAGCTATGTTCTTTACCTTAAAATATTGATCCTGCCTAAAATTGTGGGTCTATGAAGGTCAGCGCGTATGTGCAATACTGTTGCACACGCAATTTGAATTTAGAATCGTGAGGTTATCTTCATTGGTTCTTTGTAACATAATTATGCGACGCCAGAAATATTACTTTGATGAATTATTATTTTATGAATTATAAGTCGAACATATAATTGGGGTAACAAACTAATTTGTGAACAACTGTGGTGTCTCGGGAAATGAACGGTAACAAATGGTTTTTTATAAAATAATCAAAAACTTGTTCCTGTTTATATTATCAATGATTTCTCTTCGTGGTTATCTCAGTGCTAATTATCTGATAGTGATAATTCATCAAAGTAATATTTCTCGCGTCGCATAATTATATTACAAAGAACCAATGAAGTCTACCATGAGTGAGCTGAGTCATGCGTGGGGTGACTCAGGTGAGTATTCATATAAAATGATCTTTATTGCGAGTTTTCTCTTTGTGATTGTGTTCCAATGTATAACAATTGCGTTAAGTTACTTTCTTAGCTTATAGGAATGACTCGGATCACTCATTCAATTTGTTTTATTGCTCATTATGCTTCTAAATTCACTCATTTCGATCGAGCATCGCCCAAAGTCAAGTAAGTAAGTATGCTTCTCAAAGTCGTTACATAGAGCACTTTACATTTTTTCTGAGATTAATTGTAACTTTAATTCAATTCCCTTACTTTAAATTTAACTCTTCCAGTACGTTGCAGTTTGCACAAAATACTATTACACTCAGGTATATTTAAAGGGACATACACCAAAACCTTTTTTGCCGGGACCCGGGAATTGACTTCATATTATGAAAGTATAGATTACAACTGTAAGTTTTGAGGCATTGAAAACTTTTTTGAGAGTACGCACATTCGAAAACAAAATTCTTTTTCGAAAGTTTTGGAAATTTTGAGAAGTCTGTCACTGTAATACTGATATTTCAGTCATTTTACAAGTTTTTTGGCTCATTTTTAATAATTAAAGACACAACATTAATAATTAAAAACACAACATTTATAAAAATATGTGTAGCTAGAAAATTATTTATAACAATTTGTTTTCTATAAAAATAACCTATTTGGTAATAAAAGATTTGTCTTATTAATATAATATAAGCTGATTACGATTCGATCTGTAGAAATTATTTCAAAAAACTGATCCTTTTTGAATTATAGGCATTTTAAGCCTTAAATTTGCCATTTTTGGCCCTTTTTTACGATGAATTTTATTAAATACCAAGTCGTTTGAGCGGCCACATTTCATACCTTAAAATTAAAAATTGAGAGAGATCCTGTTTCAAAAAGTTGGATATGATCATCAGCTACACTCACAAGAATTTTTGAACTAGGAAATGCTCGATTACAAAAAAAGATATTCTCAAAATAATTTTGTTTGGTGTGGAAACGGTGCGCTAGCTAGGGTCACTGAACTGCCTATGAGGTCATTTGGGTTGGACATGTTTAGTGTATGCTCCCTTAAACCTGTCTTGACCATGCAACAATGAACGTGATACGACAAATAATAATATATCTAAAAATATTTAACACTGTTCACACGTAGTGACAGTACGTGTATATACCTGGCCAAAAATAACATCAGTTTTAAATATGCAGTAAAACCACTTGATATACAGTATAAAAACGAACGGCGTACGGTATAGAAAAAACCCCACGTACCGAACTGATAACCCCCCCCCCCCCCCCCCCTTAAAAGCCTATGACCAACCATAAACTGATGAATCTCTGATAATGCCTAATTATCTAATAATTATCTGATAATTATCTGATAATTATCTGATAATTATCTGTAAATTATCTGATAATTATCTAATAATATAATGTCCTTTCCCCGCATTTAAATTAATACTGTACTCCACTAGTATAATTTGGTTTATTTATTTTTAGTCACTATAATTTTAACAAAATAAGGAAGTTATGTTAGTCAAGATGCAGATGACGATGATGATGGTCCTGACAATGTTAGCTGGCATTGCTTTGGCTGACTCAGAGATCATGTGTATTGGTACTTCAGAAAGTGACTGCACTTTCAGTAAGTCTGATTATTTCATACACTTTATGTATCAACATTCCAGCTATATATCAATTCAATATATGAAGTAAACAAATTTGATGATATAATAATAATAAAGACATTATTTTTCAAGTAATTTTTAAAAGGAATCGGGAATTTGACGGACTTTTACATTCTGTTTGAACAATATCGATTAAACGACTTCAAACCGCGATTAATTTGGGACACTGTTTTTTTTTCTCCAAATCATCAGGTCTGTCAGAAGTTTTACAATACATTTACTGTAGTCTTTACAAAACAGCTATTATAATATTGTTCCTCGCCAGCGGAAGAGATAGGGGAAAATTTAATTCTAACCCTGTCGTGTGATGATGGGAGGCACCTAAAGATAGTGAGCGCAAAATACTGGGCACCTCATTCATGGACATGTACTGACCAACATGATGCTTTTAGTAAAACTAGCGATCACTGCAATCATAAGGTTTGTAGACATTGAAGAAAATGTGTAATGAGCAAACATAAAACATTGAAACTAATGAGATCATAGACAATTTAAGGACTGGACGTGTGAAAAGTTTTGATTTTAAATTCTTCACGAATCAACATTCTTCTAAATTTCTAACTCCCAAAACGGTAAACCATTTCGTCATCCTCACGACCTGCTGCTCTCACAGGAATCATGTTCGATAAACACGAGCCCGAATAGTTTCTATGGTGATCCATGCTGGGGTGCGGGGAAGAAACTGGCAGTATCGTACACGTGCCAGACATGTGACGAGGGAGAACTGTTAGTTGAGGGGCCAGGGTGTATAGGTTAGTGATAATTAGTAAGGAAATAAGAGCAGCGCCTTACGAAATACAATTTGTGTGTAAAAAGACAAGTTTATAAACAGATGTATTCAGATTGACGTTATCATAATATGGGCAATAGAATCAGTGAAACTTACAACTTTTGTGGCCACTTAATTTTTTTTTGCTGACTGTGCTGTTATAGAAGAGTTATAAGATCATAATTTTTTCAACTTCAGATCCCTGTGAAGGTGGCAATTACATTGACCAAGAGAACGGATGTACACCATGTGAAGAAGGAACATACAGCCCTGGAGGAAGTGCTTCATCGTGTTCTAACTGTCCTTCTGGGAAAGAAGTGGCACCTGGTTATATTGGTTCTTCAGAAAATGACTGTTCTTTCAGTAAGTCTGATTATTTCATACACTTTATGTATCAACATTACAGCTATATCGATTCAATATATGACGTAAACAAATTTGATGATGTAATAATGATAAAGACATTATTTTTCAGGTAATTTTTAAAAGGAATCGGGAATTTGACGGACTTTTATATTCTGTTTGAACAATATCGATTTAACGACTTCAAACCGCGATTAATTTGGGACACTGTTTTCTTTCTTCAAATCATCAGGTCTGTCAGAAGTTTTACAATACATTTACTGTAGTCTGTTATACAAAACAACTATTATGATATTGTTCCTCGCCAGCGGAAGAGATAGGGGAAAACTTAATTCTAACCCTGTCGTGTGATGATGGAGAACACCTAGAGATAGAGAACGCAAAATACTGGGCACCTCATTCATGGTTATGTACTGAACAACATGATGCTTTTCCTAAAACTTGGAATCACTGCAGTTATAAGGTTTGGAGACATTGAAGAAAATTTTTAATGAGACATAAAACATTGAAACTTAAGAGATCATACTCATAGACAATTTAAGGACTGGACGTGTGAAAAGTTTTAATTTTAAATTCTTCACGAATCAACATTCGTCTAAACTTCTAACTCCCAAAACGGTAAACCGTTTCGTTATCCTCACCACCTGCTGCTCTCACAGGAATCATGTTCGATAAACACGAGCCCGAATAGTTTCTATGGTGATCCATGCTGGGGTTCGTGGAAGAAACTTGCAGTATGGTACAAGTGCCAGACATGTGACGAGGGAGAACTGTTAGTTGAGGGGGTAGGGTGTAAAGGTTAGTGATAATTTGTAAGGAAATAAGAGCATGTACGAAATACAAGTTTTGTGTAAAAAGAAAAGTTTATAAACAGATGTATTGAGATTGACGTTCTGATAGTTTCAGAAGTTCCAGTGGACGGAGGCTGGTCTGAATTCTCGGAATGGTATGAGTGCTCGGCTGCATGCGGAGGAGGTTCTCAAATTAGGAGCAGAAGTTGTTCAAACCCTGCTCCAGAAAATGGAGGGGCTGATTGCGATGGAGACGGATTGGAATCTCAAGATTGCAATGCTGACCCGTGCCCTGTTGACGGAGGATGGTCTGACTTTTCTGATTGGTCTGATTGCTCGGTTGCATGCGGAGGAGGATCTCAAAGTAGAAGCAGAAGTTGTTCCAACCCTGCTCAAGAAAATGGAGGGGCTGGTTGCGATGAATACGATTCGGAATCTCAAGACTGCAACGCTGACCCTTGCCTTTGGAGAGACGACAATCGATGTGGTCCGACGTTCCCCCTCGCTAATGGCTCTCCCAGTCAGTGTAACCCTGACCACCCAAAAGGCGCTGTTTGCTGTTCTAAGTGGGGACGGTGCTCATCCCAAGAAAAATGGTGTACTTGTCATACCTGCGTCAACTACGGCCGAAGTTAGTCTTAACGCGAAAGGCAAAAACTCTTTCTCGGTCGATTGAATGGTTGGTTGAGTAGTTATAGTGGAAGACCGACACTTTTCAACCAACTTTTCAATCAACTGATGCGAAGACACATGTATGCTAATTAGTTATAAATTTGATTAGTTACCTTTTAAAAAGTGACTCACCTGGTCCGTTATACACGTCTTTAAAATCCCCTCAATTATGATCGCAATAAGAACATTTTACTTCACATCGCTTTTTGCTCCCATTTCAAGAACACTTGAATTTAACAGTTATTTTTTATTAATGTTTTATTAACATCCCTTCACCTCAGAAGAATTATCTCAAGACCTTTGGAGAGACGACAATCGATGTGGTGCGACGTTCCCCCTCGCGGATGGCTCTCCCAGTCAGTGTAACCCTGATCATCCAAAAGGCGCTGTTTGCTGTTCTAAGTGGGGACGGTGCTCATCCCAAGAAAAATGGTGTATTTGTCCTTCTTGCGTCAACTACGGTCGAAGTAAGTGTTAACATGGAAGGCAGAAACTCTTTCTTGGTCGATTGAATGGTTGGTTAAGTTCCTTATCGGACCTTATTTGAACGGACATTAATTAGTTAATTGAACGCTGGAAGTCCTAGCGTTCATGTTAATTTCCGTTCACTAATCACTATGAATGTCCGTTCATAATTATATCCGTTCATTTAATGTCCGGTCAAATAGTGTCCGATAAGGTAGTTATATAATAGAAGACCGACACTTTTCAACCAACTTTTCAATCAACCGATGCGAAGACACATGTACGCTAATTAGCTATAAATTTGATTGGTTACCTTTTAAAAAGTGACTCCCTGGTCCGTTATACACGTCTTTAAAATCCCCTCGATTATGAATTATGATCGCAATAAGAACATTTTACTTCACATCGCTTTTTGCTCCCTGCATTACAAGAACACTTGAATTTAACAATTATTCTTTATTAATTTTTTATTAAAATCCCTTCACCTCAGAATAGAATTTGAGAACATATCGTCAACTAGAAAAACAGCAGATGGGTGTGAACGAATTTGAAGCAGGATTTGGACAATTTCTCGTCGAGAGAGCACTAAGATTTGGATATTTGTAGAGCATAGAGAGGTCAACCATATTTGTTTGATATATGACAGTGCAATTCTGGGTTTCATTATTCAATATTGGAAGCTTATTTGTAGTTATTGATCGCTGTCATCTGTCAGAAAACATGGATGTTATCCCCATTAATAGTACCCAGATCTATACAACGCATTGAAAAAATGTACAACAAATATTTCCGTTTTGTGTATTTTTATTACTATTAATATCATAATTTCGAAAAAAATTGTTTTATTCATGTTCCAATTTACAATTCACGTTAATGTTAAATAAAAGCGCAACGGAAAAATGTGTTTTGTTGGCAAAGTTTTTTGAATCCCAAATTTTCGGATCAAGTTCGACAGACTAGTTTGTATCACCTAAAACTATAAAAGCAGGCTTTACGGGCATTTTCTGTTATGTATTTTCTGCTACGCAAGGGAGTCAGGGACCCCATGCTCACTTCATGTATTTTTTTCCCGATCCATGACTCAAAAGAGTCAAGGACAAGGGTTATCGAACGAAGTTTTTTTTTGTATATGGTAGCTTTGCAACCGTGCTTGCCTGCGAGTGTAGTGCGTACGTGCCCTATTAGTTATAACTTTGCGGAGTTTGTCACTCTGCAAAGTTATTGTTTGGGGAGTAAATCGTTAATTTCACCATAGTATCCAACTAGCTAGGCACTAATTGATAGCATATTATTTCGAGTTAGTATTACTAGCAGGAACTCGTTTAACCCTAAAATGATGTCATGACTCAAGACTCAAGAGACTAAAATAATTATTACCTATTTAATTCGCGTTTTTGACACCACGGTGGTCCAAATTTTGGGCTCTAAAATTCCTATTCCTTGGCCAATTTTTTATTTTTTCATGCTGATTTGGAGGGCATTAAAGCATTTGACCCAGTCAAAAAAGCGACGATTTTATTTTCGGTATCATTTTGCATTTGCAGACGGTCATTCAAATTATTATCATTTATTTTTGTTTGGGAAAGAGAGAAGGCAGCGGTCCACTCTACCCATGATTATAGGTTATGGTCAAATATCATATCTTTTTGATTATAATGTCAGGCCGGTACTTAAAAAAGTTGAAATGTAAACTCGTAACGGCAAGTTTCCATATAACTTCATTAAATTTATGATTTAAAAAGGAGGTAATTTCAATGATTTCGAACTTTTACCTTTGAAACATTTCCTTGTGTTCAGGTAAGCACATTTGTCGATCACTGACTGAATATGCTACTTTATACTCATTCAAGTTGGCATTAAATTAAAATATAATGCCATTTAACTGTCGTGGGAAAGCAAAATTTCAAATTTGTTCGAAATCAGGAATGAGCAAAATTCTCACCTTTCGCACGTGCAAAGTAAGTAACCATGTTAACGAGGGTTGTTTACAGTTACACGCACGTGCACGTGAAAAGATTGTTAGAAGAACGGCATTTTTATCGGTTTTGTTGATATTACAATGTGTTTAGTGCGAGCAACATTTTAATCGGCTGTATCTTCGGTTGTGTATAAGAGGTGTAGGATATTTTTTGACGCGATTTAAACTTACTAACAAAAAATATAATAAGCTTTCTCCCTCTGACCACGGGTTTTCTAGTCTATATTATAATCCAAAGAATTATTTATGTACGTATCACAATACTATAATTCAAAGAATTATTTCTGCTGTATAAAAATGTATAATGTACGACCACCCAGGCACCCACGTGCAAATTATAGGTAAAAAGCAAAAGGTTGCAAAGTAACCATGGTAACGAGGGTTGTTAGTGTTACACGCACGTACACGTGCAAATATTGATAGAACGGCATTTTTATCGGTTTTGTTGATATTACGTTCTTACGTTGTGTTTAGTGCGAGCAACATTTTAATCGGCTGTATCTTCGGTTGTGTAGGACCTTTTTTGACGGGATTTAAACTTACTTACAACTTTACAAAAAATACTATTAGAGTATTATCTTCCTCCCTGTGACCACGGGTTTTCTGTTTGTTTGTTTGTTTATAGAACCCGTCCCCAATCTCGTATCGGAAAATGACTAAACTCAGGTCTGAGTGTGAATACGGGTGGTACCTGCAAGAGTGTTCATTAAGCATTTAGAGTTCTGTAAAACTGCAGTTACAATTGTGCTAGAGTATTTTTAGTATATACGATTGGTATCAGATATATATCCCTACATGCTTCCAAAATTTGTAAAGCCGTAGTACATACATATCACATTACACCGGAGCCTACACAGTGCAATCTCCTCCAGTCGATCTGCGCCGCGTATGTTTATATAATTATAAGCGCGCGGCGCAGACTGGAGGAAACCACACTCTGCAAGTTCGATCTAGTGCAATGCTAAATGTACGTACTACGGCTTCATCTCCAACTTTCTGCACAATGTACTGGAATGTTTTGAAGGAAAAGAAAGAACAAAAAAAATGATATATATAAATAAAATCAGCGATTTAATGTTAGCCTTAGTATAGGAGGGTAACTTTAATTCCCTGGTTTCTAAAAACAGCTTTAAAAAAAAATAATAAAGTATGTAACGTCGATACCAAACCGATTATTGAGCGATAATAACTGAGTAGTTGATTCCTGGGTTGCGGAGTCATCCAGTTTTTTAATGTGGTTCTTGTTCAGTTCTTGACCAGAAGTGTCTAATGAAGTAAGTCAGACAAGCAAACTCTTCCTTAAATGCTGATATAAGTCGTCTCAATCCCAGAAATTATGAATGATGACCCAGTGTAAAAGTGCAGAAATCGGCCGAAAATAACAAAGACTAAAAATAGTTAAAAAGTGACAGGATTCAAACACAAGGAAAATTAATAACTTAGAGCGTAATAAGGAATATCTCCAAACGGAGTTTTCTGAGAGGGCGAGATGTTCTTTAATTAGAGCTAATGATTAAATGAGACCCACTAAAGGTACTAAATTAACCGGACTGCTAGCAAGGAATCGAGAGTGGGAATAAAAATAAAAGCGGAATAAATTTTAAGATAATGAAACAGAAACTGAAAGCTAAAATATATACCGTTCTAGAATGCCTCCGCAAACTATTGCTCCTTTGTAATGCCCACGTGTTAGTAAGTGTAGTAAAAAGATAAAAATAATAAAGCTATAAAAATGAACGGAGCGGTGAAAATCTGAGAGGGTGAGAGGTTCTTTAATTAGAGCTAATGATTAAATGAGACCCACTAAAGGTACTAAATTAACCGGACTGCTAGCAAGGAATCGAGAGTGGGAATAAAAATAAAAGCGGAATAAATTTTAAGATAATGAAACAGAAACTGAAAGCTAAAATATATACCGTTCTAGAATGCCTCCGCAAACTATTGCTCCTTTGTAATGCCCACGTGTTAGTAAGTGTAGTAAAAAGATAAAAATAATAAAGCTATAAAAATGAACGGAGCGGTGAAAATCTGAGAGGGTGAGAGGTTCTTTAATTAGAGCTAATGATTAAATGAGACCCACTAAAGGTACTAAATTAACCGGACTGCTAGCAAGGAATCGAGAGTGGGCCCACGGGTTTTCTAGTCTATATTATAATTCAAAGAATTATTTCTGCATAATAATGTATGTACGACCGCCCACGTGCAAATTAGACGAGAAATATGAAGTTGCAAAGTAACCACGGTAACGGTGTTCAAAAGTGCACGTGCACGTGCAAAGATTTGCGAGCGACATTTTGATCGGTTTTGAGGTAATTATACGTTGTGTTCAGGACCCTGTCAGTGTCTCTCTTTCCCAAACAAATGGAAATGATATTAATTTGATTGACCGTGTGCAAATGCAAAATGATACCGAGAATGAAATCGGTCGCTCGATTTTCCCAATCATTCACGGCTTACGAATTGTATTAAACAGTTTCGATTAATTACATCAATCAAATGCTGTAAAAATCTCTTTGGGTTGCGTTCGGGGCGATACTTAGTAGTAGTTTTTCTACAGACGGTCAATCAAATTGATATCATTTCCTTTTGTTTGAGAAAGAGAGACACTGGCAGCGGTCCACTCTACCCATGATTATGGGTTTTGGTCAAATACCCAATCGATTTCTCAGGACAAACAATTAAAATCAAATGTCGTAACGCGCTTTATTTGATTTCATTTTAAATTGTTGGCACTGAGGTTACTGTTTTATTAGAAATTTATTTGAGAGAATCATCAGCAGTTGAAATTGTAGTACGTGTTTTTTATAAAGGAGAGAGCAGTTGGAATTTGTGTTACCTGGACAATTAGATTACCAGTCTGTAGGACTGGTAATAGTCCTACTCCTGCACTCCTGCAGACTGGTAGAGGCTTTTAATTGAATTCCACAATCAAAAGGTCGGATGAGATCCAATTACCTCGTAATATTGCTTCTGCGGAACACTCCTGGCTTCTCAATACTCCTTCCCCAGAAAAATTAGTGAAACGAAAAGTCTAACTGATACTGATAGTGCTGATTACTGATTAGTGCACCGGTCCTGTTAGGTTCAAGCAGGAACTGTTACTTTCCTTCTTGAACTCATAGTTACCTCCTGAGGCATCCTGACGTGCAGACTTCTTCGGTTATCTCCGATCAAATGGTTGGGTACAACGCACAATGCTAATTGCAGCGCGGTGCCAGTCTTTGATCAATTACCACCAGAAATTTAATTTCATGCTTTTCAGTTAAAGGATCACGCGTTGCAAGGAACGTAGCCATCTATAAAACTGGCTACGTTGCAGGGTCGAGCATAGATTTAGAGCAATTTAGTATGGCTCCTGTTTTGCGAGTCATATTGCATGTTTTAAGTAATGCTTTAAATTCTTTCTGTTCGTCCTGTGTCTTTCCCCAACATCTACTAGAACGGACAGTACTGTTGTAAAGTTCTATGGTTTTAAGTTAAGATACAGTTATTAGGTACTAGTTAAGTACCGCTACTGTGTCATACGCCCGTTATTGTAGAGCCAGATCGAACGCAAAAATATAGCTTGAATAAATTAAAACTTAACGGCCAGGTAGCTAGCAGTCGGTTAGAGCACCAGCTTTGCAATCGTGAGGTTGCGAGTTCGAATCCCGCTGTCTGCCTGATCGTGGGGTGAACGTCGTCGACGTTCTGCTAAGGATCCAATAGGATCTATGCAGCCTCCCGGTTCACCCAGCCAAATGCTCGAGAAATCGTGTGACGGTTAAATGGGGAGCTGTGCAATGTAGTACAGCGAAAAGCAAAAACCTTCAAGTTCAATGGATGGTTACCGTGATGGGTGCCACATGCCTATATTGCCTGGCATGAAATATATATACCTACTTACTTGTACTTGTCTAGGTCTATATAAGCATTAGTATCGGGCGTTGCCTGCTATCCCGAAACTAGAAGCTGCTATTGTTTTATCACAGTGAAGTGCCACAAGGACTTAGGACGTTAGGACGTTGGCTTTAGCCAAGCAACTTTATAGTGTATACCCTTTATATCATCAGCAGAAAGTTTGTTTCTATAGCTTTTGGAATTTGCATACTTATCATTCTTATCTTACTCAGCACTCATGGATGCACTTTGCTAGGCAACCAAACAAAAACACGTTACATGTCGACTAATTACAAAGTAATCGGGTTATTGGAATTTGGAAAAATGTTAAATACACGTTAGGAATGAAGTGACACATATGAATTATGCTTAATGCTTTAGTAAACAACGCATAGACTATTATGGCGATCTCTTTGAATGCTGTACAAATTCTTGCTGTAGTAATTCTTAACCAGTTGACTCAACTCGGTCCAGTTTTCGATAGATTGTTAGAGCTTTTGATTCGTTTAAAAAATGTATCTGTTTATGTGGATAAAATATTTGTTGCCGAATATTAAAAGGATATTACCAACCATAAACTGATGAATCTCTGATAATGCCTAATTATCTAATAATTATCTGATAATTATTTGATAATTATCTGATGATTATCTGATAATTATCTGATAATTATCTGATAATTATCTGATAATTATCTGATAATTATCTGATAATTATCTGATAATTATCTGATAATTATATGATAATTATTTGATGATTATATGATAATTATCTGATAATTATCTGATATTTATCTAATAATATAATATCTTTTCCCCGCATTTAAATTAACTAGCAGGAACCCGTATAACCCTAAAATGGTGTCAAGACTCAAGAGACTAAAATAATTATACCTATTTAATTCGCGTTTTTGACACCACTTGGGGGTCCAAATTTTGGGCTCTAAAACTCCTATTCCTTGGCCAATTTTTTATTTTTTCATGCTGATTTGGAGGCCATTAAAGCATTTGACCCAGTCAAAAAAAGTTTCAGTTGTATATCTTTTACGGTTTTTGCGGAAAGTCGCGTTAAAGTTGATGCCGTGGTGTCAGTAAAATGGTACGGATAAACACATCCATAAACAGGATTAAACAGGATTAAACAGGATTAAACATAAATTTGTCAATGAGAGCCCTAACACTCACGTCTTGACTATACATCAATATGATAGAAATAAATAAATAAATAATGTGCAAGGGTTTTCTTAAAATAAAAATTTAAAAATCATAAAAATTTAACTTCGTCACATCTATATATATCGTCTCGCTTTATATATAGTAAGATACTGTACTAATAGTATAATGTGGTTATTTAGTCACTATAATTTTAACAAAATTAGGAATTTATGTTAGTCAAGATGCAGATGACGATGATGATGGCCCTGACAATGTTAGCTGGCATTGGTTTGACTGACGCAGCGTTGTGTAAGTTCAAGTTCATATTATATAATTTATTGGAAGAAGTTTCTTTGATGTATTTTATAAGTACATTTATTTTGTGTGCTTTTTGAATTCGTATGGAGATTTTTTAGTGCCTCCGTATTAGTGTAATTTAATGATGACGTAGTAATGATAAAGAAATCATTTTTCAAGTAGTTTTAAAAGGAATCGGAACTTGACAGACTTTTACATTCTGTTTGAACAATATTAATTTAGCGTCTTCAAACCGCAATTAATTGGGACACTGTTTTTTTTTCCAAATCATCAGGTCTGTCAGAAGATTTACAATACATTTACTGTAGTATGTACAAAACAACTATTATAGTATTATTCCACACCAGATAAAGAGATAGGGGAAAACTTAATTCTAAACCTGTCGTGTGATGATGGAGAATACCTAAGGATAGTGAACGCAAAATACTGGGCACCTCATTATTGGTTTTGTACTGTACAACATGATGCTTTACCTAAAACTCAGAATCACTGCGATTATAAGGTTTGGAGACATTGAAGAAAATGTGCAATGAGACATAAAACATTGAAAAAAACAATTTAAGGACTGGGCGTGTGAAACGTTTCGATTTTAAATTCTTCATGAATCAACATTCTTCTAAACTTCTAACTCCCAAAACGGTAAACCGTTTCGTCATCCTCACGACCTGCTGCTCTCACAGGGATCATGTTCGATAAACACGAGCCCGAATAGTTTCTATGGTGATCCATGCTGGGGTTCGTGGAAGAAACTGGCAGTATGGTACACGTGCCAGACATGTGACGAGGGAGAACTGTTAGTTGAGGGGGTAGGGTGTGAAGGTTAGTGATAATTAATAAGGAAATAAGAGCATGTAAGAAATAAAACATTATTGTGTAAAAAGAAAAGTTTATAAACAGATGTATTCAGATTGACGTTCTGATTGTTTCAGAAGTTCCAGTTGACGGAGGCTGGTCTGAATTCTCGGAATGGTCTGAGTGCTCGGCTGCATGCGGAGGAGGATCTCAAAGTAGAAGCAAAAGTTGTTCCAACCCTGCTCCAGAAAATGGAGGGGCTGATTGCGATGGAGACGATTCGGAATCTCAAAACTGCAACGCTGACCCTTGCCCCGTTGACGGAGGATGGTCTGACTTTTCTGATTGGTCTGAGTGCTCGGTTGCATGCGGAGGAGGATCTCAAAGTAGAAGCAAAAGTTGTTCCAACCCTGCTCCAGAAAATGGAGGGGCTGATTGCGATGGAGACGATTCGGAATCTCAAGACTGCAACGCTGACCCTTGCCCCGTTGACGGAGGATGGTCTGACTTTTCTGATTGGTCTGAGTGCTCGGTTGCATGCGGAGGAGGATCTCAAAGTAGAAGCAAAAGTTGTACCAACCCTGCTCCAGAAAATGGAGGGGCTGATTGCGATGGAGATGATTCGGAATCTCAAGACTGCAACGCTGACCCTTGCTCAGTTGACGGAGGTTGGTCTGAATTCGGGGAATGGTCGGAGTGCTCGGTTACATGCGGAGGAGGATCTCAAAGTAGAAGTAGAAGTTGTTCCAACCCTGCTCCAGAAAAAGGAGGGGCTCATTGCGATGGAGACGATTCGGAATCTCAAGCCTGCAACGCTGACCCTTGCCTTTGGAGAGACGACGGTAAATGTGGTCCGACGGTCCCCCTCGCGGATGGCTCTCCCAGTCAGTGTAACCCTGACCACCCATTAGGCGCTGTTTGCTGTTCTAAGTGGGGACGATGCACAAACAAACAAAAATGGTGTACTTGTCTTGCCTGCGTCAACTACGGCCGAAGTAAGTCTAAACATGAAAGGCAGAAACTCTTACTTGGCCGATTGAATAGTTGGTTAAGTAGTTATTCACTTATAGTTATAGTGGAAGGCCGATACTCTTCAACCAACTTTTCAATCAACCGATGCAAAGACACATGTACGCTAATTAGCTATCAATTTTCTTGGTTACCTTTTAAAAAGTGACTCCCCTGGTCCGTTATACACGTCTTTAAATAACCTCAATTATGATCGCAATAAGAACATTTTCTTCACATCACTTTTTGATCCCATTACAAGAACACTTGAATTTAACAGTAATTTTTTTATTAATGTTTCATTAACATCCCTTCACCTCAGAAGAATTAGCTCAAAACTTTTGGAGAGACGACAATCGATGTGGTTCGATGTTCCCCCTCCCGGATGGCTCTCCCAGTCAGTGCAACCCTGACCACCCAAAAGGCGCTGTTTGCTGTTCAAAGGGTGGACGGTGCTCATCCCAAGAAAAATGGTGTACTTGTCCTACCTGCGTCAACTACGGTCGAAGTAAGTGTTAACATGAAAGGCAGAAACTCTTTCTTTACTGTTTCTGTTTCTTTACGTCGATAGAATGGTTGGTTAAGTAGTAATACTTATAGTGGAAGGCCGACACTTTTCAATCAATTTTTCAATCAACCGATGCAAAGACACATGTACGCTAATTAGCTATAAATTTGTTTTGGTTACCTTTTAAAAAGTGACTCCCCTGGTATGTTATACACGTCTTTAAAATACCCACAATTATGATTGCAATAAGACCATTTTACTTCACATCGTTTTTTGCTCCCATTACAAGAACACTTGAATTTAACAGTTTTATTAACATCCCTTCACCTCAGAATAGAAGTTGAGAACATATCGTCGACTAGAAAAACAGCAGATGGGCGTAAACGAATTTGAAGCAGGATTTGGACAATTTCTCGTCGAGAGAGCACTAAGATTTTGATATTTGTAAAGAGGTCAACCATATTTGTTTGATATATGACACTAGTGCAATTCTGGGTTTGATCATTATTCAATACTGGAAGCTTATTTGTAGTTATTCGCTGTCATCTGTCACTGTCAGGAAATATGGATTTCATCCCCATTTATTATAGTAGTAGTACCCAGATCTGTACAATGCATTGAAAAAATGTACAACAAACATTTTCGTCTTGTGTATTTTTATCACTATTAATATCATAACTTATGTTAGTCAAGATGCAGATGACGATGATGATGGCCCTGACAATGTTAGCTGGCATTGGTTTGGCTGACGCAGAGATCTTCTGTAAGTTCAAGTTCATATTATATAATTTATTGAAAGACGTTTCTTTGATGTATTTTATAAGTACATTTATTTTGTTCGGTTTTGAAATTCGTATCGAGAATTTTTAGTGCTTCCGTATCAGTGTAATTTAATGATGACGTAATAATGATAAAGAAATTATTTTTTAAAAAGGAATCGGGAATTTGACGGATTTTTACATTCTGTTTGAACAATATCGATTAAACGACTTCAAACCGCGATTAATTTGGGACACTGTTTTTTTTCAAATCATCAGGTCTGTCAGAAGTTTTACAATACATTTACTGTAGTCTTTAAAAAACAACTATCATAATATTGTCCCTCACCAGCGGAAGAGATAGGGGAAAACTTAATTCTAACCCTGTCGTGTGATGATGGAGAACACCTAAAGATAGTGAGCGCAAAATACTGGGCACCTCATTCATGGTTCTGTAGTGATCAACATGATGCTTTTAGTGTAACTAGCGATTACTGCAATCATCAGGTTTGGAGACATTGAAGAAAATGTGTAATGAGACATAAAACATTGAAACTAATGAGATCATAGACAATTTAATTAGGACTGGACGTGTGAAAAGTTTTGATTTTAAATTCTTCACGAATCAACATTCTATTAAATTTCTAACTCCCAAAACGGTAAACCGTTTCGTCATCCTCACGACCTGCTGCTCTCACAGGAATCATGTTCGATAAACACGAGCCCGAATAGTTTATATGGTGATCCATGCTGGGGTGCGTGGAAGAAACTGGCAGTATCGTACACGTGCCAGACATGTGACGAGGGAAAACTGTTAGTTAAGGGGCCAGGGTGTATAGGTTAGTGATAATTAGTAAGGAAATAAGAGCAGCGCCTTACGAAATACAATATTTGTGTAAAAAGACAAGTTTATAAACAGATGTATTCAGATTGACGTTCTCATAATATGGGCAATAGAATCAGTGAACCTTACGACTTTTGTGGCCACTTAATTTTGTTTGCTGACAGTGCTGTTATAGTAGAGTTATGAGATAATAATTTGTTCAACCTCAGATCCCTGTGAAGGTGGAAATTACATTAACCAAGAGAACGGATGTACACCATGTGAAGAAGGAACATACAGCCCTGGAGGAAGTGCTTCATCGTGTTCTAACTGTCCTTCTGGGAAAGAAGTGGCACCTAGTTATATTGGTACTTCAGAAAGTGACTGTTCTTTCAGTAAGTAATTTTTAAAAGGAATCGGGAATTTGACGGACTTTTATATTTTTTTTGAACAATATCGATTTAACGACTTCAAACCGCGATTAATTTGGGACACTTTTTTTTCTTCAAATCATCAGGTCTGTCAGAAGTTTTACAATACATTTACTGTAGTCTGTTATACAAAACAACTATTATAATATTGTTCCACACCAGGGGAAGAGATAGGGGAAAACTTAATTCTAAACCTGTCGTGTGATGATGGAGAATACCTAGAGATAGAGAACGCAAAATACTGGGCACCTCATTTTTCGTTATGTACTATACTTGAAAATGCTTTTCCTCAAACTAGGGATCATTGCCGTTATAAGGTTTGGAGACATTAAAGAACATTTTTAATGAGACATAAATCATTGAAACTAATGAGATCATAGACAATTGAAGGACTGGACGTGAAAAGTATTGATTTTAAATTCTTCACGAATCAACATTCCTCTAAACTTCTAAATCCCAAAACGGTAAATCGTTTCATCATCCTCACGACCTGCTGCTCTCACAGGGATCATGTTCGCTAGACACGACCCCGGATAGATTCTATGTTGATCCATGCTGGGGTCAGTGGAAGAAACTGATAGTATGGTACAAGTGCCAGACATGTGACGAGGGAGAACTGTTACTTGAGGGGGCAGGGTGTGAAGGTTAGTGATAATTAATAAGGAAATAAGAGCATGTAAGAAATGAAACATTTTTGTGTAAAAAGAAAAGTTTATAAACAGATGTATTCAGATTGACGTTCTGATTGTTTCAGAAGTTCCAGTTGACGGAGGCTGGTCTGAATTCTCGGAATGGTCTGAGTGCTCGGCTGCATGCGGAGGAGGATCTCAAAGTAGAAGCAAAAGTTGTTCCAACCCTGCTCCAGAAAATGGAGGGGCTGATTGCGATGGAGACGATTCGGAATCTCAAGGCTGCAATGCTGACCCTTGCCCAGTTGACGGAGGATGGTCTGACTTTTCTGATTGGTCTGAGTGCTCGGTTGCATGCGGAGGAGGATCTCAAAGTAGAAGCAAAAGTTGTTCCAACCCTGCTCCAAAAAATGGAGGGGCTGATTGCGATGGAGACGATTCGGAATCTCAAGACTGCAACGCTGACCCTTGCCCCGTTGACGGAGGATGGTCTGACTTTTCTGATTGGTCTGATTGCTCGGTTGCATGCGGAGGAGGATCTCAAAGTAGAAGTAAAAGTTGTTCCAACCCTGCTCCAGAAAATGGAGGGGCTGATTGCGATGGAGACGATTCGGAATCTCAAGACTGCAATGCTGACCCTTGCCCAGTTGACGGAGGATGGTCTGACTTTTCTGATTGGTCTGAGTGCTCGGTTGCATGCGGAGGAGGATCTCAAAGTAGAAGCAAAAGTTGTTCCAACCCTGCTCCAGAAAATGGAGGGGCTGATTGCGATGGAGACGATTCGGAATCTCAAGACTGCAACGCTGACCCTTGCCCCGTTGACGGAGGATGGTCTGACTTTTCTGATTGGTCTGAGTGCTCGGTTGCATGCGGAGGAGGATCTCAAAGTAGAAGCAAAAGTTGTTCCAACCCTGCTCCAGAAAATGGAGGGGCTGATTGCGATGGAGATGATTCGGAATCTCAAGACTGCAACGCTGACCCTTGCTCAGTTGACGGAGGTTGGTCTGAATTCGGGGAATGGTCTGAGTGCTCGGTTACATGCGGAGGAGGATCTCAAAGTAGAAGTAGAAGTTGTTCCAACCCTGCTCCAGAAAAAGGAGGGGCTGATTGCGATGGAGACGATTCGGAATCTCAAGCCTGCAACGCTGACCCTTGCCTTTGGAGAGACGACAGTAAATGTGGTCCGACGGTCCCCCTCGCGGATGGCTCTCCCAGTCAGTGTAACCCTGACCACCCATTAGGCGCTGTTTGCTGTTCTAAGTGGGGACGATGCACAAACAAACAAAAATGGTGTACTTGTCTTACCTGCGTCAACTACGGCCGAAGTAAGTCTAAACATAAAAGGCAGAAACTCTTACTTGGTCGATTGAATAGTTGGTTAAGTAGTTATTCACTTATAGTGGAAGGCCGATACTCTTCAACCAACTTTTCAATCAACCGATGCGAAGACACATGTACGCTAGTTAGCTATCAATTTTCTTGGTTACCTTTTAAAAAGTGACTCCCCTGGTCCGTTATACACGTCTTTAAATAACCTCAATTATGATCGCAATAACAACATTTTCTTCACATCACTTTTTGATCCCATTACAAGAACACTTGAATTTAACAGTTATTTTTTATTAATGTTTCATTAACATCCCTTCACCTCAGAAGAATTATCTCAAAACCTTTGGAGAGACGACAATCGATGTGGTTCGATGTTCCCCCTCCCGGATGGCTCTCCCAGTCAGTGCAACCCTGACCACCCAAAAGGCGCTGTTTGCTGTTCAAAGGGTGGACGGTGCTCATCCCAAGAAAAATGGTGTACTTGTCCTACCTGCGTCAACTACGGTCGATGTAAGTGTTAACATGAAAGGCAGAAACTCTTTCTTTACGTCGATAGAATGGTTGGTTAAGTAGTAATACTTATAGTGGAAGGCCGACACTTTTCAAAGACATATGTACGCTAATTAGCTATAAATTTGTTTTGGTTACCTTTTAAAAAGTGACTCCCCTGGTATATTATACACGTCTTTAAAATACCCACAATTATGATTGCAATAAAGCAAAAAGACCATTTTATTTCACATCGTTTTTTTGCTCGCATTACAAGAACACTTGAATTCAACAGTTTTATTAACATCCCTTCACCTCAGAATAGAAGTTGAGAACATATCGTCGCTTAGAAAAACAGCAGATGGGCGTAAACGAATTTGAAGCAGGATTTGGACAATTTCTCGTCTAGAGAGCACTAAGATTTTGATATTTGTAAAGAGGTCAAACATATTTGTTTGATATATGACAGTGCAATTCTGAGTTTCATCATTATTCAATACTGGAAGCTTATTTGTAGTTATTCGCTGTCATCTGTCACTGTCAGGAAATATGGATTTCATCCCCATTTATTATAGTAGTAGTACCCAGATCTGTACAATGCATTGAAAATATTTACAACAAACATTTTCGTTTTGTGTATTTTTATTACTATTAATATCATAACTTCGAAAAACTTTTTTTATTTCTGTTCCATTTTATAATTCATGTTAATATTAAATAAAAGTTCAACGGAAAAATGTGTTTTGTTTTTTTTGTTTTATAGATCCCAAATTTTCGGATCAAGTTCGTCAGACTAGTTTTTATCACCTTAAACTATAAAAGCATGGGCCTTACGGGTATTTTCTGTTGCGTTTTTTTACCGTACAATGAATTGAAAATATTTGACCAAAACCCATAATAGGGCCGGTAAAGTGGACCACTGCCGGTGTCTCTCTTTCCCAAACAAAAGGAAATGATATTAATTGGAATGACCGTATGCAATTACAAAATGATACCGAGAATGAAATCGATCGCTCGCTTTTCCCATTCATTTACAATTGTAATAGATTAAGAAGAACTACCCGAAGGCAGCTGTACACTGTACAGTGTACTCGGTAATAAAGATTCAATAAACTTCAGCCAATTCACTAAATACTACTACTAGGTATTGACCCGAACGCAACCCAAAGATATTTTACAGCATGTGATTGATGTTAATTAATTACATTTTAATTAATTGCAACTTTTTACAATTTAACAGAAATTTAGAAGAAATTTAAACTTCCTGCAAAATTTCTCAAATATTTCCTCATCTGACTCTAATTTCGTTTAGGCGGACTCTAGATTTTCATTCACTACTGCAACTTTATATAGTTATAGTGAATGGTTATAGTGCGCCTGGTATAAGCTCTAATCAGCTCACTTCATAATAATAATATTAATAAATTATACTTTAACTAGCTTAGGGAAACATTTGAAATTAAATTTAATTGCTGTAGAACTTAACTTATTTAACGTATTTTAACGTATCTGTAATTGGTAATTCAAGAAATTCTAAGTAAAAGTAAACTTATGTTTTATACACGTCAGTAGACTATATAGTAGTAGTACGCGTGCCACGTACAAATTTGGCTCATTACCTAATACTATACATTACATAGCATATACTAGTAATAGTATACATTAAAATACAATTGCGCCGCGCATTCATTGAATGTACAGGCTAGCAGCCCGGTAGCTTTTTGACGGATGTTACTCGTCTAAATTTCTTCGAAGTAGCGCGTGCCGCTTTCTTCTCGAAATGGCCGAGGCAAGTACGTAGCCGTGCTACGAAGTAGCGCGCGCACCGGGCTAGTCCATTAACAATGATGGACAACTTGATTCACAATGTCAATCCTTCGCATCTCGGCGAGATGCGAAGGATTGACATCGTTAATCATTGATCATTGTTAATGATTTGGCCCAGCGCGCGCTACTTCGTAGCACTTGCCATCGAGAAGAAAGCGGCGCGCTACTTCGAAGAAATTTTGGACGAGTAACATCCGTCAACGTGAATCAACGCAAAACGCTAAAATCTAAATATGTCCTACCGTACCCGGGTACGTTCACATAGCCATGTGTATCGTACGCGTACTGCATGACGCGCTACTGCAAGCGAGAGGGCATTTGGTTAGAGCAACCGGGTACGGTAAGACATTCACATATTTTGTATAATTATATTTTAGCGTTTTGCGAACCAAATTTCGATGTTTTGCAGCTGAAGTCAGAACTTTTTTTTGAATGATCATTTAGCAAGGTCACTGAAGATGGTACAAGACAAAATTGAACTTGAGGAAATGAAAGTTCTATTCCCAAAGTAGGTAGTGCGCCATCGACAGCGAGCCGCGCGTGCCGACTGTAGGATGGTTTTTTAGCGATAATTTCGGCCAGCACAAAATTCTTGAAACAAATGCGTATTGAGTAACCTTCCCTTAATCCAATTTTAACAAAAATTGGTAAGCTTACTCATAGACTTACAGGGAAAGCTAAAGTGTCCGAAAAATTCCCAGCAAACTAAATAAAAGATCACAGCGTTTAAACTTTGCAAATTAATGTCGTTGTCATAACTACTAGTACTGGCTTTTACTAATTCGCTCGCCCAAAAATTTCACGTGACTTTGGTTTTTTCTTAAAATTTGGGCGAGCGATTTAGTAGGAGCGACTAGTACTAGGCTAAATGCAGCGTGCGAAAAGTAAACTTGATGTGACGCGCGACGACAAACGCGCTCCTACTAAATCGCTCGCCCAAATTTTAAGAAAATTCTTGTGAAAAGGCCCTTTAGGCATGAAAGTGATCTAAATCGGTGTATTTTTGGACGCTGATTCCGAATCTCCCCCCATGACGTAGGGTTAAAATGCTTCCCTGGAGAGTTATGGGCAAAAAACTGTTTTGGTCACGTGACAGGCTAGTAAAACGTGAATTCGGTTATTTAAGGCTCGGGTTAGGGTTGTCATACGTTGTATGACCCGCCGCGCACGAAGTGCGCGGCTCCCCCTGTAGCGTCGAAGACGCTACAGTGAAACGACGCTACAGTGAAACGACGCTATAGTGAAACGACCGTGGGGGTCACCACGTGATACAAGGTTAGGGTTGTAGTTAAGATTATGGATAGCTTCGGGGTTATGATTATGGTTAGGGTTAGGGTTGGGATTAGAGTTTATGTAAAACCGTTTTGCACGGCTGCAAAACCAAAAAAACCAAAGTGTCGTGAAATTTTTGGGCGAGCGATTTAGTTGACGGATGTTACTCGTCTAAATTTCTTCGAAGTAGCGCGCGCCGCTTTCTTCTCGAAATGGCCCGATGGCAAGTGCTACGAAGTAGCGCGCGCCGGGCCAGACCATTAACAATGGTCAAGCGATTTCGTAAAAGCCCCTCTGGCGAGCCCAGCAGGTGGTAAGGTTTTTTGGGTTTAAAGCATATCCAACCATCAAAAATTATGTTACAGCTAAAAGTAGCGTATTTTGCCCCATTTTCATCACTATATGATACATCAACTCCGATATCTTTGGATCACGTGGTGACCCCCACTGTCGCTTCACTATAGTGAGTTTCTACGATACAGGGGAGCCGCGCACTCGTGCGCGGCGGGTCATACAACGTATGACAACGATATCCACCAAATTTTTCGGACAGTTGTGAAAGCCCTATTGGAAGGTCGTCGCCAATTTTCAGAATGATCGAATTCAAGGAACTAAAGATATATCAGAATAATACGACAAAAATTAACGAATTTGGTCAAATTACGCGACTTTTACAGTTACTTTTGCTCCGAAAGCTGCGCACCATAAAATATGGCACCTAGGCGTCAGGCAAAACTCACTGATCTTTCCAAAAAGGTATAACAAGTTTTACCTGGGGACCTCACTCCTCAGTCTATCATGTTTATAAACATAGCCGAATAGAGATTAGGCGGAATGACGGGCTGAGCGCAGCCCAGTAAAACAAATTTGGTACTGTGAAAATTCTCATGCAGTCTCTACTTCTAGAAAACAATGGTAAAATTTTTAAAATCCGAGCAAGTTTATTTTTATCGTGCACCCCCTACCCAAAGAAAGCTTTGATAAACGGACAATCATCAAAACACAGAAAGGAAAATCAAAAAGAGATTTTGGATGATTTAAAAAAAAAAGCTTTTCTGCCGCGTGCCGTTTTGCGTTTCCTTGACCAAAATTTCGCAGTTTTGGCTGAATTTGTTACCAGTGACCAATCAGTGAGGTCAATGAAAGTGACACCTAGCAAGGTCACTGAGAACTAGCGTGCTAAAGATCACTCTACATACCAGGGACAAAAGGATTTCGCGATTATTTTGGCCAAAAATCGCGATACCGCGAAATTTAACAGGCTATACATTAAACTATACATGAAATTTGTCGCAAATAATGGGAAAAATCGCGATTCCGTGCATGCCGCGATTTCCTTTTGTCCCTGCTACATACAGTCGATCTTAACGAGATTGTTCTAAAAGGCCCCTCGACAGTTGAAACCAACTTTAATCGATGTATTTTTGGACGCTGATTCCCAATTACCCCCAATTGCCCATGCAATGACATAAGGTTAAAATTCTCCCCTGACGATTGACGAGATATTGCCAATAATAATATTATTGGCGAAAAAATGTCTCGATCACGTGATATGACCGTATAAGGAAGTTAGTCTAATTTCTCGTTAGAGTTATGGTTTCGGCATATGCGTTTGTTAAGGATTGGGTTAGGGTTTGACGGATGTTACTCGTCTAAATTTCTTCGAAGTAGCGCGCGCCGCTTTCTTCTCGACGGCACGAGCTACGAAGTAGCGCGCGCCGGGCCAGATCATTAACAATGGTCAAGTTAGGGTTAGAGTTGTGATCAGATTATAGAGGGTTAAGGTTTCGAATAATCGTTCAAGGCCAGCTAGAGAACGGGTTGAAAAAGTCACGTGACAGTTGAGTGTAGAGTGATTAATCATCATCCCACTGAGGATGACACAAGACAAAATTGAGGTAATGAAAGTTCTATTCCGAAAGGAAGCTTTGATAAACGGAAAATAATCAGAAAGGAAAAAGAGATTTTTGAAGAGACGCTTTTCTGCCGTTTCCTAATTCCTTGACCGAAATTTCGCGGTTTTGGCTGAATTTTTTACCAGTGACCAACCAAAGTGAGGTCGGTGAAGAGACGCTTTTCTGCCGTTCGGTGAGAGTAACACCTAGCAAGGTCACTGAGGATGGCACAAGACAAGATTGAGCAACTGAAAGTTGAAAGTTCTATTCCCAATCAAATTATTTATTCATAAATATGACTACCTTACTCGGGAACTATGACTGGGATAAAGTAGTGGATTTTGGAAAATTCCGCCATATTTTTCCCGGTCATTAATTTTCCCAGTCATAAATCAACCCGCTATAATATTCCCGAGTAAGGTAATTAATTCGTTGCATACCAATAATTAATTTATCCACACTTATGATAAATTCAGTCACAATTATGATTGATTGACGACAAGTAAAAGTATTAACTTATAAGAACCAGTAAATCAAATAAGTTTTAAAATATTTACATTGTCAAAAAAAACATTACAACACTGTTCAGAGGTATATAATCAGCAGATATATTCAAATTAACGCTGTTTTCTGTTAAAAGTAATTAACAGCCAGTATATCTATATTCGGCATTATGCATTATTATTATTCTACGTCAAAGTGTTGTTTCCAATCATGATAAGAAGGTTAAGAGCCTTGGATCACATAATTAAAAACAAGACTGCAGTTAAATTACAAAACTAATTTTTTATTAATTAAGGTAATTTAAGTAGAGAATTAGTTTTCTTTGTTATCTAATCGGAGTCTATCGTTCTGATTTAAACATCTAATATCTATTAGTATTAAATGCCAGCATGAAGATTATGGTTAATGACGTGAAAGTAATAACTAAAAGCAATATTAATTAATATGTCGAAATCACGATAGTATATTAATTATTAAAGCTATCTTGTATGCATCATAGAATGAAATAAGTCACATTTTTCATAACATATTCTCGTCGTCAAATATCAATAACCAATGGTAACTAGCAAAATTGCTATAGAAAAGTCCTTACCATTTACAGTGAAAAGTAAAAGAATAAATAAATAAAAATTATCATATAATATATCATTTTCAAGATAAAAATATTATACATGATTTCATTAAAACAGCAATTGCTACTGTGTTACACTTTATAAGCGATACATGCAGTTAGTGCAGGGCCAGCGTGTTTGACAAGCAGTTTGACTTACTATTAGTAAATCAAACTGCTTGTATTTACTGTAAATTACCCAAATTACTTATTTACGGTAAAACGCCGCAAACCGAACTTGGGAAAAATTCATGATCAGACCAGCTAAATTCACTTCAATCTAACATCGATTATTTATTTTTTGGGCAACTTATTTCATTTCCAGGTGAAATCTATATTTTCATGAAATAAAGCTGGTTTGTCGCTTGAGGTATCCTCGCAAATTAGCAGTGTTATTAAATTGATAACAAAAACGCCTCTTTTTGTATCAATATCATAGGCCCATATCAGGTGACGCACTCATGTGTCACGTGTGCGTCACGAGTGCGTCACGTGTGTAACACAGTAAACCAATCATTGTGCCTGTGGCGCGCTAGAGAAATAAATATATCAAGTCTCACATCCATGCTTAATTCTGGATTCAAATACAATCAAAATAAAGGTCAGAGAAATCATCACTCGTCATTCTACAGTGGCCCATTCGGGTGAGTTTGATAATCTAATCCTAAAGTTGTTTCGTCATTCAACTCCAGTCAAGGTAGATTCTAACAATGTGTATCCTATTAATTCCTATTAAATCTACCGGTCTCCCAAGTTTCGTGAGACATTTTCTCGAACGAGCAGTAGGATTTTACGAAATAGACGGGATTGTACGCAGCCGACACCTTTCAACTCAAAAGAAATCAGTATAGATAATCGGGCACTAAATAAAATCATCTCGTTTTCAGGTTGCGTAGGATGGTTTATTTGAGGCCATTTGATCGTTCTTACTTTTGTTATGTGAGCATACTGCACTGATTGCTACTGTAGGGGATTGTAAGGGTATGCTTACTTATACTACTGCGGCGTACAGACACGGCGTACAGACGCGGCGTACAGACGCGGCGTACAGACCTATAGTTATACTCGCTCGGAGTTTCTGTGATTGGGGCACGCCGATACCGACTTCTTGTGAATAGTTCCAGGTTGTAAATCAGAGCTCCTAATGACAGTTCTATTGTTGGGGTCCCGCGGGATATAAGGAGGAGGTTCTGATGACGTCATGTGGTGGAGTGATGACGTCATGTGGGGATGGTTGACACGTGAAGGGTCTGGGATGGGGTGGGTCACGGAGGCGGTGATGGGTTTTAGTTGGGTGTGGGAGTAAGGGGTCCCGTCACGGTATCGGAGTGATTCAATGCTGCTGAAATAAAAGAGTTGTCAGGACTGAAATGGAAAAGAGAAAGGAAGTCATGTTGAGATTTAGATCGTTAATTTGAAGATAATTCGAATACAATTTAGCAAACAATAAAAGGATGAACTTACCCGCTCTTGTATTTTCTGTAGTGATGCATGCTGATTACAAGGACAACAATAATCAGTAAGCACATAAAGATTACCACAATGATAATGTACATCGCATCTCCTGTAATAATAAAACATTCAAATAAAGATGGGCTACTACTAGTACTATATATTAGCCTTTTCCAGAACTTCCATTGCATTGGCGTTAAAATTGTATTTACATCAGTGTATAATAGATAACAAGCAATAATTGAATGACACGTGATCACATCACGTGACCTACCTTTGTACCAAGCCTGACCAGGGGGGGTCTTCTTACAGAGTTGACCACGTAGTTTACTATCTGATACAGTGTGATCCTCTGGACACTCACTCACGCACTTGTGCTCTTCTGTGTAGAAAGGGTTCTTTAATGTTGGGCAGGCTTGATATTTTTACAGTTTTTTTGTAGTTAACGTAATAGGGCAGGTGCGTAATGGGGCAGGTACGTAATGGGGCAGGTACGTAATGGGGCAGGTACGTAATGGGGCAGGTACGTAATGGGGCAGGTACGTAATGGGGCAGGTACGTAATGGGGCAGGTACGTAATGGGGCAGGTACGTAATGGGGCAGGTACGTAATGGGGCAGGTACGTAATGGGGCAGGTACGTAATGGGGCAGGTACGTAATGGGGCAGGTACGTAATGGGGCAGGTACGTAATGGGGCAGGTACGTAATGGGGCAGGTAAGTAATGGGGCAGGTACGTAATGGGGCAGGTACGTAATGGGGCAGGTACGTAATGGGGCAGGTACGTAATGGGGCAGGTACGTAATGGGGCAGGTACGTAATGGGGCAGGTACGTAATGGGGCAGGTACGTAATGGGGCAGGTACGTAATGGGGCAGATACGTAATGGCCAATGGGGCAGGTACGTAATGGGGCAGGTACGTAATGGGGCAGGTACGTAATGGGGCAGGTACGTAATGGGGCAGGTACGTAATGGGGCAGATACGTAATAGGGCAGGTGCGTAATGGGGCAGGTACGTAATGGGGCAGGTACGTAATGGGGCAGGTACGTAATGGGGCAGGTACGTAATGGGGCAGGTACGTAATGGGGCAGGTACGTAATGGGGCAGGTACGTAATGGGGCAGGTACGTAATGGGGCAGGTACGTAATGGGGCAGGTACGTAATGGGGCAGGTACGTAATGGGGCAGGTACGTAATGGGGCAGGTACGTAATGGGGCAGGTACGTAATGGGGCAGGTACGTAATGGGGCAGGTACGTAATGGGGCAGGTACGCAATGGGGCAGGTACGTAATGGGGCAGGTACGTAATGGGGCAGGTACGTAATGGGGCAGGTACTTAATGGGGCAGGTACGTAATGGCGCAGGTATACGTCTGATGTTAGATAAACCAATTCTTTAACCTGGTCCTAACAGTAAACTTAAAAACTCTGATTCTGACTCAAACCTCATAGTAAACATCACATCTCTACTCACATCACTCTCAAGAAGGACAATAATAGTAAAGATAAGATAATATATTAGAGATAGTAACCATAGTTACTATGGTTACTATGGTTACTACGGTAGTACTGACCGTAGTTAAGGAAGAGTTGATCAGGACAGCTAGTACAGACATTGTAGTCAGTACAGGAGGCACACGTCACGTGACAAGGCAGACACATTGTTTTGGAGGTGTAATACCCGAACTCAGGACACTCCTCTACACATGTCTTGGATCCCGTGTCGTCTGTGGAGTGAGGGGGAGTTGAGGAGGGTACTGTAGCCCGAGTTAACTTTCAAAATCGCACAATTTTATAATACAGTGCAATTTTACAATACAGTACAATTTTATAATACAGTGCAAAAGTCATATTTTTTGAGTTTCCTTGTTTCTAATCTGCTGTTTTGAAGAACCTCTAACATAAATACATAAATCTTACCTGATGAAATTAGGGAAAAGTGTTCACATTGCTGTGTAGAGTTGGTTGTGTACTTTGTTCCGTACAATATCAGTTCCACGTACGTTAGCTCACCTGCCAACAACAACTATCAGCAATCAAAATTAATCTCTGGAACAAAAGTTAAACATTCTGCGAACAAAATAAATCGAGTCAAAAGCAATGACTATCAACCAAACTTTTAAAAAAAAGAAAAAAAAGGGGAATATTCTCACCGTCGCCCTTGCTCTCGATGGTAAGAGTCCACTGCCCAGGTGCAACCTCTCCCCACATCTGCACGGAAAGGAAACTCCACTTGAAGAAACCCTGGTTATTTGTGTCAGACGGCCGTTCTGTGAGCAGAGCTGACTCTGTTCCGGCTGGAGATTCTAGGATTATCTTGAGGGAACCTGGAACATTGAATTAATATATTATTACGATCAGAATTATCTAAGAGTTTCGTTTAATAATTATTATAAACCCTGTGAAGTGGAAAAAGGTCAAATGTTACTAAAAGGATAATTACAGCAATACATCACATTTGATTTATCAGAAAGCTTATTAAAGAATGTTGATTAAAGAATGCTTAGTAATGAATTTATAAATTCGTTACTAAGCATTCTTTAAAAAATTCAAAATCGGTATCCATTGTATATTGTCTATTTCCAAACTGTCGTACTCCTGCAAATACCTCTAAAATCGTGGTTGACACTCAGGACAACTTGGACATGTTCCAACACAGCGACCTCACGTGAGCTCCCTTTACAAGCGTCAGTTGTTATCCGTACCTCCAACTTCTGTCCCTCTTGTTTCCTGATCTGAGCGTTCCTGACAGCACAAACACTAATTATTCATTAATTACTAATTAATTACTAATTAAGAGTCAATTGGTGCTTGCTATCAGTCGAGCACGGCTCCATTATTATAGGCCTCGTAGAGATAATCTTTCTAGCTAGTCCGTGAGTGTGATTAGAGCAAACAAAAATGAAAAATAAACTAGCGTTGTCAAAAACAGAAGACAATGTTTGGTGCTATACTATGTCTTGTACTGACTCGTGAGCGAGAGATTGTCGGTCTGATACAATGGAACAAACATGTTGTTCTCCCACGTTGATCCAAGTTTTTGCAGTTTCAACCATTCTCAACGAGTCTAGAATTCCGAAGCCTATCTTGTTGTTGACCCGCCTGGCAGTAACATTTGATAAGTGCGTGATATTGTCACGTGATATTGTCACGTGATATTGTAACGTGATATTGTCACGTGATATTGTCACGTGATATTGTGCGTGATATTGTGCGTGATATTGTGCGTGATATTGTGCGTGATATTGTGCGTGATATTGTGCGTGATATTGTCACGTGATATTGTGCGTGATATTGTGCGTGATATTGTGATATATATTGTGCGTGATATTGTGATGCATACCACGGTGTTTTGATAGGGATTCCGCCATGTTCAAAATCTAGAATAATCGTCACAATGATAATCCATTCTGCGACAATTTTAATTTCGATAGGAAATCGAGACAATGGCTGAATGGAATGTAATATGTATCGTCTGGCTTTAATAAGAATGGTGTGTCGCTTACCTGCCAGCACCGTTAACATCAGAGTTGTCGTGAGTAGGATGAGTTGAGCTCTCGACAATAATGTGCTGTACATCCCTCCACCCTAACTCCGGACTGAAGGCAGATAATTGGTTTAATTGCTAATTAATTAGGGTGATGAACATTTAGTGATTTTGAAAACAGGGAGGTGTTAATTGGTAAATTGGCTGTTAGCGTTGACTAACTTGGCACTGAGAGCGAGTGCGATGACTCCTGCAGCTAGGGGCGCTGCAGCAGATGTACCGCCGTGCTGTTCAGTGCAACCTGAGTTCAGATCCGTGGTGGCCTGACGAATGTAGTTTTAATTTGTTATATTGATCAAACTTCTCCGGGTTAATTTTCTACGTTATTGCTATGGAGAGGAAAGTAGTGATGGATGAAGAAATATAGACGAGGGTTCTAGATCTTATAATAAAGAAATGTGACAGCCAACACAGGAACAAATGGGAATTGTACATGTTAGCAACTATGTGTACTAAAAATAGTTTTCTAAGGTTTTTATGCAGGGGAGTTTTCAGGCACTCGCTACTTACAATCCTGCGCTCGTTGTTGGTACCGGAACTGTATGCTGCCGCCAATGTAGCACTACATTCCTCAACATAAGCCGGTATTTGGCCCTTATCGTTAACCGCACTGATACTGTAAGGTACTGTCGTTACTTCCTTTACACTTTCTCCCGTAACGAAAGTGTAATAACAAACCTTTTTAATTTTTAACTTTTTAACTCAATTCTAAATTTTATCTGTTTCGTCACAGATGTGAAACAGTTTATCGTCGCGGAGATTTACTGGTAAGGCGACTAACAAAACGATTAACCAAACTAAAAGGTATAGAAGTCCAACCTTATGGTGTAGATGGAGCTGCAGTAACATTTGATAAGTGCGTGATATTGTCACGTGATATTGTCACGTGATATTGTCACGTGATATTGTCACTAAAAGATATAGCAGTCCAACCTTATGGTGTAGATGGAGCTGCAGTAACCATCACAGTTACAGTTATCCTTGTTTAAACCACCATTGCCGCTAGCCCACACGTATATTGAACCTTTTCCTTCCCTTCCCTGATAAGTCAGTTCATTAATATGTAAAGTAATAACAAGTGCTCGCCTCTTGTTCCATGGTAAGACTCTAAACTTTAAGACTCTAAGTTTTAAGAATTATTTTAGAGTTTCAAAAGGATTGCTTAGATCATTAACAAATTAAACACATGTTTGTTATGCCTGGGGACAACGAACTCCCTCTAGCCAGTCTTAAGCTAGTCGCCCTGAATCCTGATGAAACAATGAGCTGTCTGTAACATGAATCAATTAAGAAATATCATTAACTTAACTTATGCAACTACTACATAGCTATTCCAGTACATACAAGATTACTATTAACTTTAAGACCGTTTAGGCGTTTACGTCAGCATGATGAATCAATTCGAGTAAGATGTTGTAATATGGTATTTAGAGATATCTTTTAGGATATCTTAGTTTTAGTATAACGTTTAAGGGACGTAGAATTTAGTATGTGTTTCCGGGTATATAATAACCAATGTTTTATTATGTTCGTATTTGGGAGTTACACATTTTGAGTGTAAGTCGGTTGGCTGGCAGACCTGCTGTCAGACCTACTGTCTGGAATGAGCCGTCTGCTCACCTTTGCACCTGACTTACAGCCAGGCCTGTGGTTGGTCCTCGCGGACGCAGGGTGACTGCTAGTGGAGTGCTCATTGGCGAGACGGCGTGTCACGTGGTGCAAGCAGATGCGTTGTGCCGTCACGCAGTGTGGCGTGACGAGTTTTGAGAGTATACCCGGAGAGCCGGATGTGGAGAGCTCACTTCTTAGTTGCCCCTTAATCATTTGAAGGGATTCTAATTGACGATAGCCAGTCTGACTGAGCACTATCTTTTGTGATTAGACACGTCGAGTGATCTATAATCACGTCAATTGACTAGAGCTTGACTAGCATACACTAAACACTAGGAGACCTGAGGAACGGAGACAACCTGATCGTCTAGGATACAACGTTAGACTAGTTACGGATCTCATAAAACTCTTCAACCAGTAGAAGACGAGGAGATGCCCGGATAGGGAAGTACACTTACTTTTGGAATCTAGTTTCAGAACAGTAATGTCTTACTCGCATAGATAGACTTTCTATTTAGTACCTTACTTAGGTATAACACGTGTATCTTTCAGAACAGTACTGATAGGGATATTAGGATCTTTACTCGCAACACGAACCGTTCAGGGCTGCTTTAGTGGCGGAAACGTAGAAACTTTCGAATTTATTTTGACTTCTCTGTTTGCTTGTCAAGGACGTTTTAGAGATTCCGATACATCTCTATTTAATGATGAAGACTCAACACCAAAGACTCTACAACTTGGTGCAAGAGGGAAGTATTTGAAAGTTTTGGAAAGTTTTGAAAGATTTGTGGAAGTCAATTTCAGTTTTAACTTTAGGATTTTGAGGATTTAAATTTAATGCACAGGGTTAGGGCCGTGTATTTTATTTTGAGACTTGACTTATTTTTAAGTATTGGACTTTTGATGCGTGGGAGCATTAAAATTTGATTTATTGAAAAGGGCGATTATTTTATTGTTTTAAAATATTCGAAAAAAATTTTTGGGTAGAGATGTTGTAATATGGTATTTAGAGATATCTTTTAGGATATCTTAGTTTTAGTATAACGTTTAAGGGACGTAGAATTTAGTATGTGTTTCCGGGTATATAATAACCAATGTTTTATTATGTTCGTATTTGGGAGTTACACATTTTGAGTGTAAGTCGGTTGGCTGGCAGACCTGCTGTCAGACCTACTGTCTGGAATGAGCCGTCTGCTCACCTTTGCACCTGACTTACAGCCAGGCCTGTGGTTGGTCCTCGCGGACGCAGGGTGACTGCTAGTGGAGTGCTCATTGGCGAGACGGCGTGTCACGTGGTGCAAGCAGATGCGTTGTGCCGTCACGCAGTGTGGCGTGACGAGTTTTGAGAGTATACCCGGAGAGCCGGATGTGGAGAGCTCACTTCTTAGTTGCCCCTTAATCATTTGAAGGGATTCTAATTGACGATAGCCAGTCTGACTGAGCACTATCTTTTGTGATTAGACACGTCGAGTGATCTATAATCACGTCAATTGACTAGAGCTTGACTAGCATACACTAAACACTAAGAGAACGCGGTTTTCTATAAAGAATCTTCGTCCAGGTCTAGCATAAATTATAAAACTTATTGTATGGTAACTCTGTGACGGCTCTCCACAACCCGGTTTCAGACACGGTAGTCAGATCTTGGGCCTTCCAGCCCTTATGCAAAATTAATAATAATACGGAAGCTAGACAGCGGTATATCAAATGACTCACATATCTGACGCCGTCCTCAAATGCTTTCTTCACCAGGAGCCCTGGGCCGTCCATCTTTTTACCATCATCCACTGGCCCCCAGCTAGAGCTGTAAATATCAATCTTTTCTGTTTTAAACCTTAAAGCTTGAGCCTCCATGGAGTCCTCGACTTTGTTTTTTAGCATTCTTATTCCTGGAGTAATTGTGAGTTGTGTTAGAAATAAATTGTGATCAACAAATTACCAACTCATCTATTTTTGGTCGACATTCTGACAATCTAAAATGACAAACAAGCATGCTTCTGTGAACAATAACAAGCTGCGCGCGCCGCGCGTAAATTGTGCTTGCAGTGAAAAACGTCAACAAGAATACACTTGGCGCGTTCCATTCTCAATGAAAAAGTGACCACACTCGTCCCACTTAGCACCTGCAATTTTAGCGTTGTAAGCCACTCCAACGCCACAAACATCGTTCTTGCTTGCAGCTACCTGACCAGCACATCTTGTACCATGACTGAAATAAATTCGAACGATTATATTCCCAGACCGGGTAACCATATCCTTTTATTCGATCAATTTAACAATTCCAAACCTTAGTTTATTGATAAAAAGAAACCGAATCTGTCTAATAATAACATATAATATATATATATATAATCTAATAACACAACTTTTGAACTTTCAACAACAGAAAAGTATTGATATTGAACATACTCTACATCTTTGTCAGCCTGCGAGGGTATGGGTGTTGGATCGTCATCGTCATCCAAGAAATCCCAACTAACACTACCTGCCTAGAGAAAATAATATTCAAAACGTAAATAAGTTGGAAAAAACGTAAAAATGATGAGTATCAAGAAAATGAACACAACGTAAGAAAATCAATGCATGGTAATTAGAAAGAACCCGCATGAAATTATCTGGAATACAAAAATCAGAATACCGTACCTAGGTGAAATATTTACCCTATTGAATACCCTATTGTTTGGATTTGCGGGCGTGTAATACAGTAATGTACGTGTATTGGGAGGTAATTCCTGGAGTTGATACTATATCTAGGAATGTAGCTATATTGTTCGTTTACAGCAGGCATTTAAGAGGCTGGAGGATCATTTAAGAGGGGTACAATTTCGGGGGTGTAGGCATGTAAGTATGCGGGGAGATTTGATACCTAAGAATGTATTGGGTTCAAATACGTGGTAATGACAAATGATTAGGTAAGTATCCCAAAATACGTTTAATGCTCCCCTTCAAAAATTGGGCCGTATTAGATAATAGCCGTACAAATTGTTAGCGGCTTTGATGTGAAAATGTCGCTCAAGACTGGTAAACTTAGTAATCGTCGGGACGTGACACGAGATTACACAGGGCTTCTGGTTGGTTGGGTTTAGGCACGTGAGTGGTGTAAGTGGCTGTGATTGGTTTACTCACATAGTTATCCTTGATGTCTGGATGCGTGTGTTCAACCCCTGGAGATAAATAGGTCACGCCAGTGTAACACCGCCACTCCTCACAGCGTGTTTTAACCATATAATATTGTGTGCAATACCCGTAATAAGACTTATATTATATACTCAATACTTATATACTTATAAAGGAAACAGACAACATCCTTTTAGAAAGACCACTTAGCGAGACCTTTTATTTCATTTTCATTTCATAACTGAGCTAGACGCCATAAAAACAGACACATCAACTGTAACCAATCAATAACCCCGACCACACACAGACACACTCGTATTATATGTAATATATATTTGTTATATAAATATTATTTACCATCGTCGAGGATAGCTACGATTACACCTTGCCCTGTTATATTGTTCGCCCAAACCGGCAGTACGTTCAGGTCCTTTCCGTACACTTCTCTGTTGTACTGCAAGATAAAGGGTGAAAGGATTTGAACTTTAAACAATTGTGGGTTAGTAATGAAACTTCTCCGTCAATATCAACTAAGATCAGACAATATGTTAATAAGAACTAGACTTTCATTGAACATGAGTTCGTTTTAGACAGAAATTTTGATACATTCCGAGTGATTTTAAAGAATGTAACCGACAATGTTGGTTACACTTCAACAATATTGCAAAGTACTGAATATTTAAAGTCATGTGCAAAACCGACTTGAACACACAGAAATATTCGGAAGACTTTGAAGAGCTCCCGGTTTAACTACTTCATATCACCTTGTTTTTAACCTAACCGCTGTCCTGAGATTGTGATTGGTTCGCATCATCACATTAAAACGTTACAACTAACCCTTGTGAGCATTCCAGCTCTCCAACCCTAATTCAGGACCCATTCTAAACCCTCTAAACCCTCGCTAAACTAAACACACCCACAGAGATTTTGAATAAATTAACTTTCCCCAAAGCTATAATTTGTAGGGCGTGATATCGGCGAGCTGCACATATGCTGACTTTATAAAGGAGTACAATAACAGCCGCTGGAGAGGGAGTTTAATAAGCTGGATACAAATTCAATACCAGTGACGTCATGAATAGAGTACATACGGGGGATATTCAATTTACAACTTTAATGATACTAATTACTGATATATATATATATATATACATATTTGTGTAGTAGTACACCTCCCCGCTGATGGATATAGACTATAGAGGTGTACTTACATTGTAGAGTTAGAGAGATACTCACTGGGTTCTCGCTGAGTAGCGTAGTAAGTTTTGTTAGTTTTAGTGTGATTATAGTGTGATTCCTTAAGTGATTATTAGTTTGATTATATTGTGATTATAGTGTGATTATAAGAATGATTATAGTGTTATGCATTAGTGTCTTAGTTAATGTTATGAGTACTATCAAGTATTTTATATTTACTGACGGTATCATTCAGTATTTTTTGTCAAGTATTTAAATAAGGTAAACAATTATAATACAGTAAAATCCCCTTTTTACCGCGGAGAGGCGGAGTTTGAGGGAAAGTAAACAGCCGCGGTAAATCGAGGTTTGCGGTAAATCGGGGTTACGGTAAATCGGGGTTACGTTTGTTCACATCATGTAAATTAAGCCCTATTTGGGGGAAGGAAAAGGAAGAAATCGGGCCGCAGTAAATCGTGGTTTTTCTACATATAATAAAACCTGTAAACCGAACATGACCCAAAGTCAAAATCGTGCATCACGATGCGAAATCCTTTTAAGAGGAAATATGTTAAGGGATGATATGACGGAAATAACGGGAACGACCGGCATATTTATTTAAACAATGATTCTGGGATTTGATTTATAACGTCAATACTAAGAGTGAAGGAGTACGTTAATTATAAGGTAAACATTAGAGAATACGCAGAAAATAATGTTTAAAATATATCAGTTCCACATATTAATTCTCGCTCATTTAACATTGATTCCCCACTGTTTATATCCATTTTGATTTCAGTACTAAGGCACCAACTTATGGTTAGGCAGATCACAACATGTTATTCTCTCGTGGGCTGTAGGCCCAACCCCTCCTTTTTCTTGAATAACAAATACTAAATACTTAGCAAATACTTACCAAATGCCATTGTCGAGTGAAGATGGGGTCGTTAAACGTCGCTGCCAGAGCGTTCAATCCCTGCACGTCAGCAGATCGTCTGTTACCGCTCGGTGGCTCCCTGGCTGAGCTGCCACCTCGTGGCTCCCTTGCCGAGCTGCCACCTCTTTTCACTCTTACTTTGGGGACTGATACCTCCGCTTCCAGCACCTGGAGTTGAAATATAGGTTATACATCAAACCAGGAAATTGAGGTGTTATAGTTTTTGAAAATGTGAAAAAAGTAAGAAATTCATAATCATTGAGGACAAGGAAGTTCTAGAATAAATTTAGCATTTAAATGCAGTATTCTACAGTAGAACCACGATTTACCGCGGAATTTTGGGAAAGGAAACAGACGCGGTAAATCAGGGTTTGCGGTAAATCGGGGTTTTACTGTACATTTATTTATGAGCACGAAAGAAATATTAAAGCTGCTATCCCTTTTTCTTGGTTTCTTAATTTATTGGTAGGTATATAATGTAACCTTGACACTCAGTTCATTACCATCATAAATATGTAACATGATTTCATATGTTTAATTTGTCAATATGTTAAATCTCATATTCAAGTCATGGGTTGGTGTTAACAGGGTCAAAAGATAACCATGACTAAAGCAAGCGTCATTCTAGAACTCTAGAAGAAACTGAGAAAGAAAGCTATGAGGGAATACAACATATTAATGGTAAAATGTAATTTCAATTCAACAGCCAAATTCTTATCTTAAAATCAGATTATTACATTATTTTTGAATAAGAACGATGATAAGCTGACAAATTTTGAGATTCCTAACAATATTGAATTACCCGAATACCATTGTTCCGGAATGAATGATGATTAAATTCTAAACCTAAACTGACATACCTATAAATACCTTACATTTCCTCCCAACATCATGTTACACATAAATTCTGCAAACAATTACACAAATCTTCAAGAAGGCCAAGGCTTAAAGTACTTCTAATTACCCCAAGCTATGCATATTAATTATGCATCATTACTCATTATGTATGCAACACACGGTCACGTACCATACCATATATCCCCCTAGACAACATTATTTCGTGAACTTATCCGAGTGTGGTGAAATTGAGCGCCTCAACAAAATACATGACTTAATACATTTGGATTTCAACACGTTAGAGGCTGAGCTCTGATGTATTATTATAACTGTATAGAATATATTATAAGAGTATTGCAGGACTGGGGAGTACGTAATGCAACATGGTATCATCTCCACACTGTAGTAGTATACAATACTGTGTATCCTACTACTACTGTTGTATCCTACAACTGTTGTATCCTACACCAAGTGTTGTAACTTGTATCCTACAACTATAGTATCCTACACATCTGTAATATACTACACCAAGTGTTGTAACTTGTATCCTACAACTAAAGTATCCTACACCAAGTGTTGTAACTTGTATCCTACAACTAAAGTATCCTACACCAAGTGTTGTATCCTACTACTACTGTTGTATCCTACAACTAAAGTATCCTACGACAGCTGCAGTATCCTACACCAAGTGTTGTATCCTACTACTACTGTTGTATCCTACAACTAAAGTATCCTACAACTATTATAGTATCCTACACCAAGTGTTGTATCCTACTGCTACTGTTGTATCCTACAACTATAGTATCCTACAACAGCTGCAGTATCCTACACCAAGTGTTGTATCCTACTACTACTGTTGTATCCAGTGTGATCCTACTACTACTGTTGTATCCTACAACTATAGTATCCTACAACAGCTGCAGTATCCTACACCAAGTGTTGTATCCTACTACTACTGTTGTATCCTACAACTAAAGTATCCTACAACAGCTGCAGTATCCTACACCAAGTGTTGTATCCTACAAATAAAAGACTGCAACGACTACACAGTACACACTGGTACATTACGCTAGTTGAGATAGCAGACGTTACAGGCCAGGACAGTGGTGTGATATTGGACGGTAGCTCTGCTTGATGTGGCGCGGAATGTGTGATATATGTGTGTGTGTGGTAATAGTTCAGGTCGTGCTCGTGGTGGAGTATTTGAAGTATGCAGAGAGAGAGAGAGAAGGAGAGAGGAGAGCAAGCTATCAGTTGGTGTAGAAACTTAAAATGTAGTATGCTCCTTTCTTCTGATGAATTATAAGATCATAGTTCGTTATTTGACAGGCTATTTGTAATTTGTCACTGTGACCATTATTACAGCACATCATATTGTAGAGACGGGTTCTGCTGAGAGAGCTTAGTAATTTAATTTAAACGGCCAGCCTGTAACCTGAGTATTTAATGAGTGAATAGTCAGTATTATATAATGAATAACTGAGTAACGTACTGAGTATCACCTCACCACATACCCCAAGCTGGCCCTTGAATTTCTGTTGAAAGCAAAAAATTTGGAGATTCTGATGGAAAAAAGTTGGTTTGGGCTACCAAGGTCAAGCTTCAAGGAGCGGCCATTAACAATCAGTTGGCTGAAATTCATGTCTAAGATGTCTCATTAATAAAAAATGCGTCCAAAACAAGCACGATATAAAGATACCGGAAAGCCGGCACGGTTTCCTATAGAGTCACCAATTAAACGCCATGTTTCTAGATCTTTCCATCGGTAGTTCTTGTAAAACGGAAAATACTTCGGATTCCTTATTGACATGACTCAATAATCAATATATGACTCAATATAATATGACTCAATGATAGACAATTTACAATTTTAATTCACGAAAATAAGCAAGTTTAAAGACTGTAATTTAGAATTGTTGAGTTTGTGGCAGCGTTATTCCGATAACTTGTCGGTTCATCACACACCCAGCAAACTTATAAATTATTCATTTAACCCCTATTACGTAAAGATGATGTTATTTAAAAGGCAAGTAAATAACAATATTAATGTACATCAGAGTGTCTGCTTTTCCCAGAACCCACCCCGATTCCCCGAAACCGCACAGTTTATCCTATATTTGAGATCAGTTATTTTCTTTGTAGATGTACCCACCATAACGGCTGTAAATTAACGTAAAAGGTAAGATTGGATGTTAGAAGCAGACTGTGTTCTGTGCTGCTTCATACAGTGCTTTGTAGACGAGATAACTCAGATATTACAGCAGATGACGGAATTACCGGGGATGGTCGTGGTGTTTTGGGATAGGATTTTGTGATATCTGTACTCTCAGATCTTACTGGCTGATACGACCAGAAAACATTCAGCTTTCTTTATTTTACCTTAATAATGAAGGAGTTATCCTCTTACATCATCCCAAATTATCTCACAATTTCAAAATATTTATAATTTAATAATGACGGTTTCAACATTTTTACTGTCTTGTTTACTGTCATTTCTGAGTTGTCTAGCCTACAAACAGAGGCAACATGTAAGTGCGGCGAAATTTATATATAAATATTATAAAAATATTATATAAATATTAAACATAATATATATTATATTTAGTCACGTTTTATCTTAAATTTCTTTGTCGGAAGATCTCAAATTTACTTGACACTAAAGTTTAATATTTTGACTACAATAGAATTGTCTGAATCTTTCATTCAGTATAGTCATGTTATGTATAGTCTTGTAATGTATAGTCAAGTTCAGTATAGTCAAGTTATGTATAATCACATGTATAGTCAAGTTAAATAACACTGACACTCAAACCAACATCGGCACAGTTTGCAGCGCTTGAGAAACGATTGTCATTATTTTAATATTTCTAAGGAGTCTAAGGCTCTAAGCTATTTTTAAGCCGCTCTTATGTTGTCTAATGATAGAGTCTATCACATTTTAGTATCTCATTGTAACAATTTTAGATACATAACGTTACACAGGCTAACAATAAATTCGCACGTGTATTTTTAATATTCTTATTAAACACTCGCGAATATTTTTATCTTTTATCAAAACCCGTTTGTATTTTTATCTCATATAATATATTTATTTTCCTCCCACACCGTACCAGTGACAAACGTGTGATTCCAGGATTAGGTAGGTAGAAAATAGAAAATCTCATTGTATCATCGTATTTTGTGGGGGTATAATGGCGTACAAACACACAAAGCTACCCTCCAGGCGAGTTATTATCCTCATTACAGCTACCCTCCTGTCGAGCTATTATCCTCATTGTAGCTTCATTAACGGCACTTATTGTGTAGCCTCTCCGAGCGGGAGAGTGGCGTTATTATCACGACCGCACCTCCCACCCTCTCTCATTGTTCATAACAAACCACTGACAAGAGTACAGTCACGTGGTGCATTATAGGTCACGTGGTATATTAACATATTATAGGTTATGTGCAGAATCAGATACGTGCAAGACGTTTGATTGGCTGGACGGTCTAACGCGTCAAATTGATTTGATTGAATGGTTTTTATAATCAGTCGATAAGATGTTAAATATTGAGTATGTGTTATACTGGTGTAAAGTAAAAATCAACACTGTCGCTGGTGGGTTTTGTTGGAGCCAAGTTAAAGCCAAGTTAAAGTCAAGTTAAAGCCAAGTTAAAGCCAAGTTAAAGCCAAGTAAAGTCGGTGAATATTGGATAGCTTTGTCTGCAAACACCCAATTTATTTAATGAACAGTATATTAGAACCTGAAAGAAACAAATGATAAACAGCCTCTCCCAACAAGAACTATAAGTCCTGTTGATGTTAACAGTCAACATTTTTGTCTATTACAACAAAACATTTCCTTCCCATACTACGGAAATCCACTGAAATATGTAGTAGTGTTGAAAGTTATAACCTGCTCAGGCTCAAGTAACTTTAATACTTAGCTTTTATTCAAGATATTTTATTTTTTTATTTATTCAAGATAATAAAATCTTTTAGATTTATGTCACTTATGATGGCTCCGGCTGAAAGTACTATGACTCATTTTATCTAGAAGATTGTAGTTTCATTGCTTCTGAAGTAGCTATCAGTTCGCCGGTCAATGTTGGGTATAATACTCTTATAATAAAATAAATATTATTCCCCATCTATTTGCTGTAAAATGTCGAGGATCATGCCAGAGTCTCCACAGTTCTATTAATAGCCGCGCTAGTGTCCCTGTCTCCACAGTTCTATTAATAGCCGCGCTAGTGTCCCTGTCTCCACAGTTCTATTAATAGCAGCGCTAGTGTCCCTGTCTCCACAGTTCTATTAATAGCCGCGCTAGTGTCCCTGTCTCCACAGTTCT